CAATTGATGCCGTATTAGTGTAATGACGTATTGGGTAACATTCGAGAATCGGAACGTGGATCATAAAGTAACAAAGAGCGAGAGATACTTTTAGAGCGGAGGAGAAACTCGATATCTGTGCAGTTCCCCCTTCTTTTTTTAGTTTCGGAGAGAGTGATTCAATATTTATATGGCATCATTTTCTACAGTGATGTTCCGCAGGGATCTAAAATTAAAGAGGGTGTTGCACCGGCCGTCTATAAAAATTTGATACTCTTCCCGATACATAATTAAATGAATTAACGAATTTAAGCATCGATAGTGTCTGTAAAAATGAATAATTCGAGTCTGGCCCATTTTTTTGGCGTTTACGACCCGATCATGGCGAAAGTTACTTTACGACGCCATTCAGAAAACGATCTGACCGACAAGCACGAACTTGTCACTCGGAACGGGTTCGTGCGGGAATTTTTCGTAATGTTCCACCCGGGACGCGTGGGGGCCGGATAATTGACGTAAGATCCGGTGGCGACTGCCTGGTGTTAGACGTAAGAGGATTAAATTCTAGAAATACGATACGAAGAACGACTAGGATCTTGCCTACGCCAGTGCAAACACGCGGTGCTCGGCAGGAGGAAAAGACGAAGAAATAGATCCATTACGAAGATTTCGGTTCCTGCGAAAACTTCCGACTTAAAATATCGACAAGGAAGACGAAATCCATTTAAAAATCTCCCCGTTGTAAAATACAACTTTACCATCGAATAATCGAAGGAGTAGTCTTTCTCGCGCCTTAATGTTCGGATCATCGGCGATAAGAACTAACATTACGAGTTACATGACGAGCGCTCGACCGTCGAAAATACTGTACCGGGGCCTCCGAATGACACGACGTGACGTAACAACTACCTGAGGATCGAACTGGAAACAAAAGATTTATGAAAGCGTAGATTCGATAAGCGGAAGAAGAAGACCAGCAAAAGTACAAATTGCGCGAGTCTTTTCGTTGGTGCACGATTTTGTAGGGGAACCCCCACTTCGTTTCGTTCCCTACCATTATTTTGTCTTATTACCTTTATTTTGGGGGTTTATTTTAACGTCATACGTCATCCTCCCGACCGAAAAAAATAAAATTCGAAAAGCGACTTACCGTTCGTGGCCCGTCTTCCCAGAGAAATGCCGTCAACACGTGACTTCCAATCCTCCCGAAATATAAAAAACCGGAAGTACTATGGTACTGGTTTATCCGTCGGGACTGTACAGTTACTGCGGAGCAAACTACAGATCCTCCAGACTATGCAAATGAGGTAGGCGGCACCTGTGACGTCGTCGTATAAAACTTTTGTTGGACCTCTCTACGATTTTATGTAGTAAAACTGTGTTTTCGGTAGCGTAATCCGGATGAGTATACGGGCGCCGCTCCTTAACCACTGTTTAATTAAAGATTTTTTTTCACGGTTTCGGGACAGAAACTGCGCTGGTCTGTTACGTCACGCAGTTTCGCCCTCTCGTGTGATTAGTTTCCGCTCGTGAGCTACACAGAACGATCTATTATCTCGCGCTCGGTCGAAGATAAACTTGAAGATTCGCGACGCGTTTGGAAGACGGGGTGGAACATCGTGACGTAAGAGAATATAACTGGAGGTTGCTAGAAGAATGGCGTACCGGTTCGTTTTCGCTTCTCCCCGTAACGTGTACCGTAGATGAATGAAAAACTTTATAGTGTAGGCCCTTAACAAATTATTCCGAAAAAGGATCTTCGGGTATGCTCGAATTAAAACCAAAATGGAGAACGGGTCCTTTCGAATACTATACGATAACATTCTTCATTTTCATACGCGCGATAAAACGTACGGAAAAGCACGCGGAATAAAATCATAATTCCCTCGGCAGGTCCATTGTATTCGTAGGAAACTATGGATACGATGGACCTATCACGGAAATTATGGCCATTTTAATCCCGGCGGAGTTGGAAACAACCTCGTTGGGTCGATTATCGAGTGCCAAATTGTTACGAAGTGTGCAAACGTATAGAGTGTCCAGTGGGACTAGTGTCTAAACGAAGGGTACGAAGAAATAGGTAACTGGTTTCTACAACCAGATCGAATCGGAACGTGGTGAGGGGTGGGCTCGACGTATCCGGGACGAACCGCCACGAAAGATTTTCCGGGTCCTCCAGAACTGTAGGCCGAGGGTTCATTTTCCACAGAAATTCTCCCGGGAGGCGTTTCTCCCTTTCGCGTGTCGAGTTGCCTCATCCCATCGATCCGATCCATCAAAACTGTTCTTATCTAAATCCTTCACTCGATACTGCAATTAAGCGATGTTAGGCGGGACTTACCGAATATCGTGTTCCACCGAAACTGGTGAAACACTGCGGTTAATATTACAATTGATGACGATCATCGTTACTCTTTCATGCAGGATTTCAGAAAAATGTATATTCTTTAATTGATTTTGAGAGGTGAATTATAATTGGAGGTAATTTCTTTGTTACGAACTATCATTATAAAATATTATAATCACTACAAGTTATAGCTAAGCTACCGTTTGAATACTACCCGAAAATAAATTACCAGGACCACCTTTACGAATCGATACAATCAATTTTCTAGAATACTCAACAGATGTCGCCACAGGTAAAACCCCCCGTCGGTTACTTTTGCACTTAAAAAATGTAAAAATCATATCGTCAACTTTTATTTATAAAATATAGAGCCGAATATTATTATGCAATTTTTTAAAAAAATTAAAAAAAGAAATAATTCGTTTTATACTCAATAGATGGAAGCACTTAATTTTTTTTTAAACTGGCTGATGGCTCGTATCGAGCGCTTATTTTTCTACTTACTCTTTCCGTCGCGCGGGCACTAAAAGGGCCTTTTCTTGTTTAAGCCCGCAATGGGGCGGCCCCGTACCGCGAAAAATTCCCTGACTTTTTCGTCGGACCCCGAATTAATCAAGTTAGTGTGGCAGGCTATCGCCCGGGATCGAATAACGGGAGGAAATTTTCCACCAGCGGTTCGTTCCGGATCCTGGACGAACAACCAATGAATAAAGGTCCCGTTATTACCCAGTTATAGAAATATTTATGAGTAAGATCCGTTCGGGATATTCATCCGCGCTTGACGAAAATACGCTGTATCCAATTTTCACCGAATACGTATCTAATGTATCGCGTACAGTACGCCTTATACGTGGTAATTAAACGTGGTTAGCAGCTACCACGCTTCGAGTTCAGCGAGATACGGAGTGCCTTGACACTGCACGAAGCAGTTTCTGCCACATTCTGCCGATAATATAGTAGTGAATTTTCTTCTGCCCGGATACGCGTCTTTATCTCCACGCTCACTGTTTATGGGGACACTTAATGTGGTTTATCGAGGAAGAGTCGCAAATTTGGCGCTTTCGAAAGGCAGTTTCGTATTGCGCGTGAGAGACAAATCAACTACGGTCGGTGATCTTCAACTTTTAGAATTCAACCTTCGCGCATTAAACAGCATCCCTGGCACTAGTCTCTATAGCAACGGGCGGATGGTCGAGGGGCAACCGCCATTCTGGGAACTCGGGATCGAAGAAGCCCCGGGAATTTTTCGGGTGGTAGTCCGTCCCGGGCCCTTAGTCTCGACTTTTTCGCGTTGTACTCGAATCGACGTCATCGAACCCACTCGCATAATCGGAAGTCTCGAGTTAAACCCATCGAGCGAACTCGAAGGCGAGCGGAAATACGTCATACTCAGACGCGTGTCGTTAAGTACGATGGGATTATTTACAATGCGTGTGGGTTTGAGACTATAATAATTCGACCAATCAACTATCCGTAACAAGTTGTAAACAAATCAAAAGCGAATTAGTTTACACGTGTTACATTTACCATCAGAATAGCGTATCCGTCAGCCATTTTCACTTTCGTGTAGCGATCTCGCATGCTGGACTCGGTGAATAGGAACTGGCGTGGTGAGATGGGAAAGCACGCGAGTTATAACTCGAGACTACCGATTTGACGTCAGTGCGAGATGGTACCACGTGACACGTTCGACACATTGGGAGTTGTAACACGAAAAACTCGAGACTGAGGGCCCCATCCTCACAATGACTCGCTAAAAGGTCCTCTTTGTGCCCATAGGACAGTTTAAAAAATCTTGCATTGAGAGAGAATATGGTATTTTTCACCACGGAAGACCCTACTCTACATTATCAAAACATAAGGCATCGGCAGTAAACGTTGGCAAAAGAAACCCCACTCGATCCTTAGATAACACGCAACACGGCCGTGCCTGCGGGTGGTTGGCATCTGCCAGGATATTGAGCGGATTTAAATGGCAGAGAGTGAATTTTGTTGCAATACAATTAACTTCGCATATTCTAAAATCAAAGTGAGTCGTAGCTTCGTCATTTATCAGCCTGACACCAAAGAGTCGGCAACCATCTATTCGCACAATTTTCGGCCATTGAATAACTGAGCAAATTATTAAGTCACACAAATGGCGATTGAAATTATACCCATCCTTCGTAACAGTAACAGCGGCTCTTTAACAAAGATCACAGGCCGACGCTTTGGCAGAAAGGCATTTTGTTACTGTTTAATGGGTTTACCTGTTTCTGCAATGCTCGGTAGTAGCTAGGTGTAGCAAATTTTGAATTAAACTAACCATCGATTATTCGACCATTGCAGTTAATCCGGAACAATGTCGAATGCCGGATAACCGGACGCTTTAATTTTAACCCAAAATTCTATAAGTGACGAGTGAACCGAATGTTGCATATTCTTAAACAATTCCTCACTCTAGAGCAGCGGTCTGCAACCTTTGACCTCCCGGACCACTAAAGTCATAATTCGCAAAATGTAAGCGAGGATAACGTCACTTACCACGTATTAACGCTTACCTATTTACGTCTGAGTTCGCTCGATTTCCGCAATTTGGACCGTGTTACGTAAAGGGGGCGGCAAAGTGGCAGTCATTGCTCTTACTTGTTAGACAAAGATTTCACGCAGAATAAGTAAACCACAAACAATTTGCTTACTTTAAATACTTTTTATTGCCGATATTTGAAACTATTAAAGACGAAAATCCGAAAGGTATAAATGATGACAATTAAATGAACAGAATAAAAATATATGAATATTTCGTAACGAATTTGCATTAGATCAATTGCATCGTTGGTACACAAGTAGATGCTTTCAAGAATTACTGCACATTTACAATTGAAAAATTCAGTCACTCGAGGGAAAATCCGAAAACAAAACGGAAATTGGCCCGTGTAAAGCGACCGTTTTTACGCCCCATACCCTTAAATTACACATTAGCGTATCGATTTAATTAATACCCAATAAAACAAGAATAATTAAAGCATTGAAAGTAAACTCGGTTATGCATTATAAATGCTCGACTTCTAGCGTGACGTTCCAGATAATACGACTGGTTACTGTTGTATCTATAAACATTTCAAGTGAGAATACATTCACCATTAGACAAGTTTACTTACTGTACTTATGCACATGCAGGGAATAAACTCATTTTTGCAAAATTTCGTACACACAAACCGACTTTCCCAACTTCCGGACAGGTTTTAAAAGATCGAAGGTTTATATTCCGTTAATATCTTGCGAGATAAACACACAAAACTAAAAGGGAAATGGATAAAAAGCAGTCAACGTGTAAATCCATCTTACTTTAATGAGGCCAAACTTTTGCATGGAACAAAACGGCGTGTTAACAATAATGCGGGAGTGTCGTCGGTCACATTCTTACTTACCTGAATTAATTAAGATTTAGAATTACAACAATAGTCAAAATTTACATCACATCATGAAGGTCGATCGATACGCTCGTTTATCATCTATACTTACCTATTTAACATTGAATTTTTTATTTTTAAAACTAACGATTAACAATAAGCGGAACTAAGCGATCTGGTTTCTCGTTTTCTGACAAGTTCGAGCCGATTTTAAATAAGAAATAAATGTTATTTATCGAACGCTTTTCTCGTCCAATTTATCTAAAATTAATTGTTTTATTGTATCGAATTCGTAATGGATCGACCGAAGAACGGCGACAGTCATTGGATATAAAGTTACTTTACACTGAAAAATTACCCTAAGTGTGATATCCTTCGGTATTGTAGGCGCTGTAAGTTCCGTCGGTCGTATAATTATTGATTTTAAAAGAGTTCGGATCGGCCGGATAATTGAATTCGGCCCCTTCGTATCCCATGCTGCTGCTGGAATATCCGTCTTGGCTGACTTCTTGCTTCATCTGCGAATCGTCTCTAACTCTCTCGTCTTTGTCCCGATCTCTGTCCTTCCTTCCTCCTTCGCGGTCTCGCTCTCTCCTCTTCGAACGATCTCTGCTGCGGCTACGACTCCTTCGACGTTTTCTTTCGCGGCTGCGACTTCTCTTCCTCTCTCTTTCCTTCTTCTCCAACTCGGGAACCATCAGTTCCACGCCACCGTCCAATCCGTCCAGCTTTTCCACCTCCAAGCGATCGCGATCTCGACCTCGATCCCTGGATTTCTCTCTTCGGTGACGTCCCTCACGATGACGTTCTCGGCTCCTGCAATACATTAACCATTAAGAATCGTGAAACAACCGTGCGGTTTCCACCCCACGCGTTACTTTATCGAAAGTTTTAATTTGAACACCCAACTACGCGGAATTATTTAATGTGCCTCTCTTGGTGTCAGAAACGAAACATTTAAATTATAACTGACATACTTGTTGTCCAATAATTGTAATTGTTATAAATCTATGTATATATGTGACTATCGACAGCTGTGTCCTCTTGTCTTACCCTGTTCGCAGTATATCTTACTTATCCTTAGCTTTATTTGTGACTAACAGAAAGATTTAGTCGAAACCAAGGTAATCTTTTCGACCGATAATGCCTGACCGTATGCGTGGTAAACTCTCATTGGCCTGAACAGAATTTGCATCCTTTCCTGGCCAGATCTCTCTCCTGTTGAACATCTTGGGACCATATTACTGAATAAACAGATGTCTGCTGCATATCTCTGTCAACTCTACTTTGCATGTGGCTATGCTATTCCTTCATGGTGTTGCATAGTTTTAGGAGTGGAAATTTTCAAGAGAAAAGATTAAGCTCTTCTATGTTCTTACTATATTCTGTAAAACATAATGAGGCAAAAGCATAGATATACAGGATGTAGACAAATATTTACACTAGCCTATATCTTATTTCTGCACTAGCCTCTATCTTATATAGTAGGAATAATAAAATAATATATTAGCTGTATGAGGTCTGTCCCAAAAGTAAGTGTACTGATTTTTTATTTCAAAATATACAGGAGTTACATCAAACTACAAACAATATCCTTCAAAGTATGATCCTTGCAACATCACACAGTGGTTCCAAAGTTTTTCCACTGGTTGTAGCAGTACTTAAAGTAATTTTCTGTAATGGTGTTTAGTTCATTGGTTCAACTTTTTTGATGTTTTCCACTATCTCAAAATGATAACCTTTCAACTTGGATTTTATCTTACGGAATAGGTAGAAGTCGCATGGAACTAGGTCCAGACTTTAGGGAGGAGGTGGGTGTGCGGGGATTTTTTCTTGGCCAAAACTCTCAAATTGTTAACTCTGTGTGAGCAGGCAGTTATTATGGTGCAGTACCCAATCTTCTGCAATGTCCTGCAGACTTTTTTGACCCATTTTCAAAGTCATTCCAAGACATCTTTGTAGAAGGCCTGTTAACTGCCTGTCCTGAAAGTAAAAATTCTTTGTGCACAATTCCATGGCCATAAAAAAAAAACAACAAGCATCGTCTTTACCCTGGATCTTTGTGCCATCTAAACATCATGTTTCTCAATAGTGGCATCTCCACAAGCTTTCGTTAAATCTACAAATATCTTGGTTGCATATTTCTTGAGTTTCACACAAAACTTGATAGCGTAATATTGTTTGAGATTTTACTCTATTTCAAACGTAACAATGTGTTAAAACACTTTCTTACACAGAGATTGTGTACATTTGACTTAACTGATCAACTTGAAACAAGTCTAGATATGCTGCTGAGATATCTAGCAATGCAAAAATACCAATTAATGATGTGTTAAGATGCAGTCATTAAATAGAAAATCAGTACACTTACTTTTGGGACAGACCATGTACACAAGTGCATGATATTGAGTGCTACCTTCAGTGTGCCCACAGATTAAGAAAGAGAAGATGGTAAACTCAAGAAACGAGAGCCGATGGCACCCGCACACAACCTGGAAGTGAACTAATGCCTATGTCACTCAACCATGTTTTTCTATAAGATAGCTCTTCAGCCATTGAAAGAGTAATGAAAATGTTGAATAGTTAAAAAGTGACAATTTCCACGAGGTTGTAAATTTCTGCATTTTTTAAACAATTCTGTACTAAAAACTGCACTTTGTCATTCTTTGCTTTTCCAAAAATGGCAATAACTAATAAGTTTATCATTACTTTAATTTTAACATGACTTGCATACTGTGCATTACCTGCACGTGATAGTTACTCTATTGTTTTTATTCCATTTTTCAGGATAAATATCCAGAAGAACTTTCTGAGTATTTATAGTAAGATCAATTTTCTGCATTATTTTTAATGACTAAAATAAGTAAAAACAACTACAATTACGTAGCAAAACCAATGATTTTGTTTAGTCAAAATCATTGGTTTTGCTAAATATCTCTTTAATTATAAAGTTAATATTGAATCCATTAAAAGGAAAGTGATCACAATTTCACCCAGTTTTCACGCAGGCACAGAAGTGTCTTGCACGTTTCTCTAGCTATCACTAGTGGCACTACCATGAACATTGGTACACCAAAGACCTTACAGCAGCTTTCCATCTTCTTTTTCTTAATCTATGAGCATGTCTGGCCATATGGAAGTCTTTCATGGTTTTCCCATCCTTTCTTTTTTTTACAAGGTCTAACCTCTTTCCCCTTGAGCTTCTTAATCGGACAATATTTTATATCAATTTACAGTGTTAGGTCCCAAAAAAGAAACTTTTTGGTACACTGGAGGCAGAACATTGGTTTTAGTAGAGCAGATGTTATCATCAAACTAATCTTTTAAATTTAGTGATTTATTTTTCATTTGACATATAAACAGAAGAAGAATAGGGAGAACATGTAATTACTTGATAAATCACCAATTTAAAGAAGGTCTCCAATAATGAGGGATCAGGTTTAAGCATTTTTGTCACTCTGATTCAATAGCTAACATTGTACTTTGGCACTCAATGCAAATGACAAGCAGCTTGCTATGTTTGGTATTTTCTCAGTGTGTTTATGAAAGTCAGCCATTTTGAATTAAAATAAACTTAAATTATTTTTATTCACATTGATTATTATATCTATATTATAAATAATAAATGTGGTCACATTATAGTTATTTTAAAAATAAAAAAACTAAATAAATATTTGTAAAATTAAAAAAAAAACGTAATTAATACTGTGGGGTGTTTTGACACCCCACTGAAAACTGTTGTTTTTCTCTTACTGGAATTTCTGCAGCATCGTAGTAATTTCTGAGCATGCTCTATATATAAAATCACGAAGCTACTGAAGAGGACACAAATATTTCTTGCGAAATCTATGAATAGTGCAACTTTTAAAACGTTGGGGGTGGCAAAACACCCCACTGCATTACCCCAGGGTTAATTACAAGCCTCAACTCTACTTTATACTTTGAGCAGTAGTGTATACTCTTTGCTTTACTTTGTAATGAATATCACATCACGACAGTCATATTTGAAATTTTAAGCTTATATAATACCAGTCGAAAGGCCCGATGCAGGCATCGGGGCATACCAAATTACAAATAAAAGTAATAATACAGTAATACCCCGAACTTACACGATAGGTGGGACCAAGCAATAACCGCATAAGTCGGGGTATAATTTTGCTATTTGTGTAAAATCCAAGTCAGATGTATGTAAGCTAATAAATGTTCTCGTTAATCTTATCTCGTCTTTTGATTCATTCACGGTTACAAGAAATCACCACATAGTCTCTCAAGTCTCCATAGATACCACAAACACAAATAAATAACACAAAATAAATTGTAGCTATGTGTCAATTCGGCGCGACATCTCCAAACATGTAAGCTGAATAATAGTGTGGGAGGAGTGAGTAATCAAGAGTTGCGTGGCGCTCAAACAAAAGACGAATTGACGAGGTTTGAAAATCGTGTAACTCCATATTCGCGTAAGTCGAAATATTACTGAATACTGAATATTATACTGTAAAAATATAAAATAACTTATATTGTTAATTTAAATAATAGCTAGGGGCATCCCTGGTGTCCATTTTTGGCATACAGTGACAGAAAGAAAAATTCTGGTTTTTCAGCTTTATATAGTATGACTAGGATTGCCATCTGTAAGCACCACTCTATCCTGAAGTTTTGCAATACAGTGCATTTTTGAAATTTAAAACAAATGTTTGTAATCATTAATTTAATGTACAATCTACAAAGTGTCAATTCACATCTTTATAAAATTGAATTGAGTTTGGCAGGGAAAATTTTGGCATGACAAAAACATGTTACACCTATGGGAAAATGTATTTATATGATGTGTGTCAACCACACAGCCATCATCTTGAATTCACCTCAAAATATTTAAATGGGAGTGGGGTCGTACAACACCATGAACTGAGGCTAGAATTTCCAGAGAAATGCAAAGGCATACTACTACTTCTCTGTCTAATTTTAATCTGTGAAAAATTCTAAACACATGAATCTAACAAATTTCTGCTCTCCAGGAATGATAAAACAATGCTTGGATGCCTGTAATACACGAGGAATGAATCCAGATCAGCCTGATGTTAGAAGATGAGTTTCAATGTCCCAATCATGGCTTATCTTCAACTCGATTCAGTCTCTTTGAACTCTTGCAGCAATTTTACAACTGACATATGTGATGCAAGGACTCTATAAAGAAATTGTTAATGAAAATAATTTGCAATATCATGCAAACTCCTCTCTCTAGATGTCAGATTATCTAGATTTGTTCCCCAAGGGTTAGAGGTATCCCAGCTGGAAGAAAACATTGGTTAGATTCATTTCATAACTTTTCACAGATTAGAGTGTAAAGAGAACAAGCACATCATTAAATTTCTTTAAATTCTAGCATCATTTCATGTATTGCATGACCTCAATTGCATTTAAACATTATTAGATTAATTCAAGATGGTAGCTTTCTGGGTGACTCACAAATACAGTTACTCATAAGCATAACATGTTTCTATAGAGCAAAAATTCCCAGCCAGTTTGATTGTATAAGGGTCTTAAATAACTTTTGACTCATTGAACATATTAAAAGGCTTCACTAAAAAGAAACCAAAACCATATAAACATATTGTGGGAAATTAAACATTATTTTATAAAGTGTTACTAAAGTTTCTACTTTTTATTTATAGATAAGGTCTAATTCCATAACCTTTTTACTAAATTATAAATGAGAAATTTATCTATCTTGTTCTGGCAGTCAAAAATTAGGCTTCTTGCATGTTATAACTGAGTATGTCACTTTCGTTGATTTTCATAAAATTTTTAGCTTTCAGATTATTTCTTTCTGATAATTTTTTGAAACTTAAGTAAAAAGTCTCTAGTTTTGTAATTTTATGTTGCTGGTTTAGTATCAGATTTCTACTTGTGAACTAATGATGGTACCATATTTCATTATTAAAACAAGTTTCAGCAGTGCAGTCTGGAGACTGGGAGATTATCTATTATTTTGTGAGGTGTTGCTTTGGTATGGCTGAAAGTCCCTTTCAGCCATACCAAAGCAACACCTCACAATGGTATGGCTGAAAGGGACTTTCAGCCATACCATTCATTTTTCTGTAGAAAGTCTGTTTTTACTCCCAAATTTCAGTCAGTCACTTCAACATAATTTTGTTAAAAAATTAATCTAGTATATCTATAGTTATTCAGAAAAATATCACAACCTGCTTCGGCTACGTCTTCGTCTTTCTCTGCTTCTACTTCTACTCCGTCGTCTTTCCCTTTCCCTATCAATTCTCACACGATCATTACGTTCACTATGTAAAGAACTAAGAGTCAATGATAAACAATTCTATTTCATTAAAAAATAAAAATTCTTACATATATCTATCTTCTAATCTTGTCTCTTCTCTACCAGAATGCTTGACATTTACTTCTGGTCCACCTCTTCTAGTGCCTCCCAGTCCACCACCTAAAGTTTTATGCAAAAATTTAGTACAAGGTTTCATTGTAAAATAATATGCATAAAAATACCAAATATATTTGGTATTTTTATGTATATTTACTAAAACATACTTTCTAGTGCAGGAAAAATATATTTTTTGTGTACTTAAAGTAAGTAAATAATAACTCCATGTCTACTAACACACAATACCAGAGCCCATTAAGTTTTTGTGGATTCCTCAAATAAGGTTTGGTGTTGTATATGTTAGTATTTTCATGTTTCATATTCAATATATATGCAACAATTTTATATTAAACAGATAAATATTGAATTTTAAACAGTGCTTAGTTCCATCTTCTATGATTTAACTTATCCTTGTAACCAACTTGTTTTACGATATATGAGGAATGATCAGAAAGTAAGTCTACAAATCCAACAACGCATACTTTTTATTGTGGAAATGAAAGATATTTCTTAAAGACAAATCCTGCACTTGATCATTTTGTTACTGGTTTTTGTGGATTTTTTAAAAACCCTAAAGTTTTTGGCTTTTCTTCAGTAACTTATCATGCAAAAAACTCTTATTGATATTGACTTTATTAATGGAAATGCATTTTGGGTCTTAATGACCACTCTTAAGTCCTTATTTTTTGTACAGAACTTAGCAAAACAGATAATATTTATAAATTACATCATACATACATGTTTACAGATAATATTCTAAAATATATTTNCATTTATTTTTGTTATTTGACGCTATTTAGACGAATAAGCAAGTTTTCCGAAGCATAAAATTGAAGATTTCCCGCCAAAATAGAAACTTCCTGATAACATCGGAAATGACGTTCTAACATCATTTTATTCTATTTGATTGTTCAAAAATCGTTATAATACTATGTATTAGACTTAAAATATTAGATATCTAAACCAGAAAGTGTTGTTCTATAAATAGGTCTATTTCTAGCTAACTCCCCATTTCTCACTTCAGGGAAAGTTATAAAACAGTTGGGTGTTAATGACTTTGTGAAAGGGAAATGTTCTACACTTAGAAACTATGAAAGAAGGGATTTGGCCTGTACCGTCCGGCGGGCCGCATAAACATTGATAAGGGGCCGTATGTGGCCCGCAGGCCGCAGGTTGTGCACCCCTGTATAAATAGATGGGAAAAAAGAGTTTGGATGAAATCGCCAATGGATTCTACTTGTCATGAAGAAGTGGTTGTCAGATCTAACTAACAGTTAGAACATCATCAGTCAAGTTCATTTTTTATTCATTTATTTTAATAATTTCTAAATGTTCATATATAATATCCCTTTTATAATATTTTTTTCTTTTTTGAGTATTTTAACATTATCAAGTGAGATCTCACAACCTTTTCCATTACAATGTATGGCCACTGCTGAATTAGTTTAATTATATTTTATAGCACATAAATGTTCTCTTAGTCTGATTTTTAGGGCTCCTCCAGTTTCACCCATGTACTGATAAACTATCAATAAAACCTATGTCAATAAGAATTTCTCATGTGCTAAGTTACCAAAATAAAACCACACCGACTCACCTAATCGTCTCGGGAGCCATCCCTTCACCGTTCGTCCTCTTTCCACGTCGACCAAAACTCTACGACCGTCTATCTTCTTTCCATCGGCATGCTTGTATGCAGCTAAAGAAGTTTACACAAAAGAATATTTAAAAAGCGTCCAAAGCACTCCTTATTGCTAACTTAATAAATACTCACCCACCTGAATAATCTAAATTTATGTGTCTTATTACTAAGTTTAAGTTATCACTTTATACACTTTCCTACATTAAGTTTAACCTACATTACAACACTAACGATTACTTCGCAATAAATACCCATCACATACTTGATTTATATTTTTCCGTACCAACCACCACTGTATATAGAAAACTCTAAGCTAATCGAATGCTTCTAAACCTAAGTTTCTTTTCTTCAAAATACTTTGGCCTAGTTCCATTTTATTATGCATTTATTTAACCGAGCCTTCTCCTTTATTCCAAAATTTATGTCTTACGGGAAACACATGGCACAATTCAAATGTGAAACACTGCAGTGGAATGCAGAAATATTTGCTTTGGATAACATGTAAAGCTTTGAAAATAATTCAATTGGCCTATCTAAACTTACCAAGTGAGTGTATAAAGTATATTTTTAACAGTAGCAAAAAAGTTCATGGCCATGCACACAGAGGCAATAATGAACAAACACATAAATCACATGTAAAACTGTACTCACTGCTTTAACTGCGCTGCATATAAAGACTTACCTAACTTACCTAATTACTGTAGCCCTCAAATGTTTACACAGTAGCCTTGTAGTATTGTTCTTCGAGTAAGAGAAAATCCACATTTTGTTTCCCTCTTCTATTTTTTCATGTTTTTCTCACTTATAGCAACATCCCATCTTAACTTACCAGGTTTTTTTTTGAAATTTAAACCCAAAACTTACCAGCCAGAATTAGAAATTTTTAAATCATTTTAGAGCACTGGGTGCTTGATGGTGATATTTAATGTCACATTTTTGTATATTATATTAATTTTTAATGTTATGGGGATTAACAGAACACCCGAGCATTTCACAGAGTAACTTACCTTTGTGGTAAATTTAGTCTAATTTTTCCCTAGCTTACCTGATTGACTATTTTCCTTTATTTTTAAATTAAATTTTCTGTACCCAAGAAATCTCTCTACACACATTTTATTCTTTTGATATCAGCACAATTCGATACTGGATATGGCAACTGTGTTACATTTGTAAGCTAAATTTACTAGTTTTTTTGTGTAGTTTTTGCACCATTAATACATTACTATGTAATCTGTCTTCGCTAATAGAGTTTAAACCGAGAAAAGTTATTAAAGTTAAAAATATATAAGTTTAAAGTAAGTTTTTTTTGTGTATTATATGTTAAATCACAAATTTTAAAATTTAGTTTATTAAATTTGTATTCCAACTCTTATCAATGCATTTAAAACTTAATTCTAGCATAAAACCTTAGAAATTTAAGAAAAGCATAAAAAAAACTTTATAGATTAGGAAGGTTTAAATAATAAATTTTCTTCATTAGCTTACTCTTTTGGCAAGAATTACCTTCCTTTTATAAACTATTGCAAATTACCCAAATTCCATTAAATTAAAAATGTTTAGCAACAAAGAATTAACTCAGACATGCTTTGTTTTTAAAAATAAAAACTGATAAATATTGCATATAAAAACATGAATTAAATAAAATTAATGTTAATTCTCCATATTTTATATTGCAGCAAATTCTACAATATTAAGAATGATTTGTGCAGCCATTCTGACTATTTTCCTGTCAGGAAATTCTAACTACTGTGTTGTCTATCTAATTCCAATAATTTTGCCAACTTTGTAGACACATTAATTATTACTTCAATATAGCTATGTTTTAATCAAACTGAACTGTCAAAACATTGTACACAATTAATATTTGGCTTCAAAATTAGTGTTTCCATTATTATATCAATCAACATAATGTACAATTTAATTACATGACATCATTTTTACTGGAAGTATATTAAGTATACTAAACAGCTTTTAAGTATAACAGTTAAAGTTATACTACAACTAACTTTAATTTAACTGTTATACTTTTATCATGCTTTGTATTCTAAAATTTGCAAATAATCTGTAACTTTTGAGTCTTTATATCCCTCATAAAATTGTTGTAGATAAAAGTTTTTATTAAAATTGTCTTGTTGCGGCACCTTTTGAATCACAGCCAATATCAAAATATCTTATTTTCCCCAGTAAAAATTTCTTATTTTTTATGTAGAAATTATTAACTTTACATTATAAATAAACTTTAGAGACATATATTAAATATTAAAAGAGATCATTGAGAAAAACAAAATATGTTCCAAACATGTAAAAGCCCACTTTAACGACAATTAAACACAAAACTTTTCTATTCGTCTATGAATGAAATTTCTATTTATGATTTAGAATATAAACTTTACTTACAAGAAAGCAACTTGAATTGTAGTTTTTGTCATAATTAATTATTATGAAATTTTGCATTAAGTTTTGTTTCCAATTAATTATTTTCCAGGATCTTTCTGTCTTGTCAGATCAAACACTTAAAAAGACTCAAAGACAGAACAAATAAATTCTAACAATGAGACTCATCAGAATTTTGAATTCAAATCCTTTAAGTATTTGATCCGACAAGACAAAAAGGCCTAAAAAAACATTTAATTGGAAATAAATAAGCCGACTCCTCGAATTATATAGCAGATTCTTTGAATTAAGTGTGACAAAGTCAAATTGAATTCCGAAAACTGAAATTATTTCAATGTTTGTGAACAAAAAATTTAAAATATTACCATTATCTCTTGCAAATAATTGGCAAAGCAAGCATGATTTTTGCACTTATGCAGGCTATATGCAAAATTATGGTACTTTAATTACTTTAATGTCATATTATAATATTGCTTTGTATCACTACATTATTATGTAGAATGTGTGTATACATGTAAATCTAACTTGAACATATCAAAGGATAAAAATTAAGCTTTTGTTTTTCTCAAGTTTTATATAATTTTAAGTATTCAAATTATTAAATTGTTGTTAAATATGTTATTTTTTTATCGATAATTTGTGTTATAAATTATCCTCTCTCTATTCTCTATTTTTTTGAAAATATTTAGATTTAACAGAAGACTTCGCATAACAATCATTTTAATTTAGATGATTTTATTCTTATTAATCACTATTTTTCCCTTTCATTTTTTAGAAAAATTTATATAATAAATCAATACATTTTATTAACATAGAAACAATATTTGAAAATTATTTCTAGGGAGACTTCTGTTAAATCAACATTATTATTAATAAAAAGTTAAATTAATTCATAATTATTACATAGTAATATTTAATATAATTCCAAAATTCATTAATTTTTTTTTTTCATAAATAAGGCCCTGTAAATTCTTTCAAAGCAACAATGTGTTGAAACCCCAATTACATTACTTTGACCTCTGTCTGATGTTTGCCTCCAGAACTATTAATTTTGATATAACCTGTATAGTTATATCAAAATTAAGCATTGAAACCTCATATTTATTTCAAACTGACTATATTAATTCCTTTCCAAACTAAAATTTACCTATTACAAATATTAGAAACTAAAACATTATGGAAATTCTATTTTCCCCCTCTTTCTTTTCTGCAATATATTTATAAATGATTATTTACTTAGGATATGCTTTTACAAATGTAATTTTTTGGCAATTTGACATTTATTCTGGAAGATAATTTTAAAACTATCATCTAAACTGTGAGGAGGTTGCACAATGTTTTAAGTCAAAATGACACATTAAAATATTTTTTTCCTTATTTCACACTTATTATTACAAAATGTAACTAAGCTATTAATTATAAAGGTAAATTTTCTTTAAATATCAATAATAGGTACAATTACAAATAGAAAATGTTTCAAGAAAAATTCAATTAGTCAATGTATCTAGACTCAGAAATAACAAAAAACATTATCTCAGCATAAGTAAAATTGAAGATTCCTTGCTTAAGAAGAATTTAATTAAAAATTCTTTCTTCTAAAATTTTTCGTTGAATTCAGACTAGATAATTCTATATATACATGCTTATTTGTAGGATAGATCTACTTATCATCTGACAGAAAATTAACAATAAATCTAATTAAAATGTTCTTTGTACAAAAGCTTACTGAAGCATAAAGGCAAAAATGATTTTATAATAATCATATGGTCTTGCTTACTGGAATACAATTCAAATTAAATTATAGTATTTCCCAGAACAAAAATGGATCAAACGTACTAGATCTTGAATGTGCATTATCCTGCTGCTACAGTGACAAATTCTTAAGTGACAAAAATCATTAAAATTTAAGTTTAAATTTAGAAAAAAAACTTCAAAAATTCAAAGATCACATCATACAATGTAGTGCAATATTTTTTGTCTCTTTAATTTCAAATAGATTAGAACAGTTTAAACATTAATACATATTGTTTGTAATAAAAACAGTACTATTTTCCTTCAAATACTAAATGTAACTTCATTCTTATTCTGGGAAAGACTATAGTCATTAGAGAGGTTGCAGCCGACGTTTTCATCACAAAAATGTGCACGTTGGACGTTCAGCGCTGCCTTCCTGTAAGCCTAAAACTTTGACAATGGCATTTGATACGTCGAGCATGATTCCACTAACATTCCAAACGCCATTGTTTAACTTCTAGGCTTACAGGAAGGCGGTGCTGAACGTACGATGTACACGTTTTTGCAATGAAAACGTTGGCTGCAACCTCCCTATTAAATCATTAATCTCCAAGATCATAAAAAAATTTTGTAAGAGTTTACTTTCTTATGTTTCTGTTTAAAGTCTAAATCTAAATGTGACTTTTAATAATTTTCAATTATTTCATCTGAAACTTTATATTAAAACTATATGAAACTAATATATTAAAAATTTTTGTAAGATTTAATATGACATAATATTTTCTAAGACAAATATAGAATTTAAAATTTACATGGCCTTATTTATATTATTTTTACAAATTTTTAATCAAATAAATAAAAATTGAAAACAAATCTATTAATATTCAAAAATTCACAGCCCTCAAATTAGTGTATATTTTAATGTGAAAATTCCTATTTCTATATTAATACTGTTGCGACAAGAAAGAATTTTTTGTACTCAGTGAGAATTTTTTTTTACTAAACACCTTACCAAACATACAAACCAACATTTGTTATACTCGTCATCCCATTATGTTGGGCGAGTATCGAAAAAACGCTTTTACCAAACGTCTTACCAAATACATACAAACCAAAGAATCCTTAGTCTACTATGACAATTTTCATTTTAGATGACACCACTCGCAACGCCAAGCTGTGGTGGGATACAAGAGAAAACTATATTACTCTCGTAATTTAATTTCAGATTTAATTATCAAAGAGAGAGTATTCTTCAGGGGTCTAGATTAATTTTTGATTTTATCATCCATTATTATTATAGACAATATTAAAATAACTTCATAAATAATAAAATAAACAATGAAAGTTACCACTCGCTTCCGGGACTTGTTATAGCTTCATCAGTTTATCTAAATATGAATCCAACAAAATAATTCTTAATTTAAATGCATCTACATCCATTTCTGGATATGTCGGGAACTTTTACGGAAGCAGTAATCACTGCAATTTGAAGAAACATGCTTCATTTGTGCCATAAGCAACAGGCAACAGGCCCACATCGTTCCAAATTAACTTACGTTTAATACAATGCACACGATAATTCAATGTTTTATAGGAACCAGATGAAGTAACTAAATGATATAATAGTATAAAAACAATCAAGATGACATCAAATTTGACAGTTCGCATTAAAATCCTTTACTAATATTGGACCTATAAAGCATTACAATTCTATCAATGACAAAGAATGAATGAAACAAATTTTTACTAATCATTGAAATCAATATAAAATTAGTACTTTCCTAAATAAAAATAAAGATTTATTAATCAAAATTCAGTCACCTCATTACCCATATGGACTTTTCACTTATAATACTTACTCTGTGCAATTTCATGGGGAATATAAATATTTCCTTTAATAAAATTTGAGATATTTTTGTAACCATATAAATTTCAAAAAACCTAAACATCCAATTTGCAAATCATCTCCTAAGATAATAAATTATTATTAGGAAGTAAAAATTCTCATGAGAACCGTTACCAGTAATAATTTCACATATTTAATGATTGTTAAAAACATCAGTGTAATAGGAAAGATACCAGTCTCCCAACTGGAAAATTCCCCGGAAAATGTGTACTATGTTCACGCCTATGGTTCACTGTAGGAGGAACGGAAAGCCCATACTTTATCAAATTTGGGTGGTAATAATTTTATAAAAAACACAATACTTACAATGCATATCTCGCTCGTGTTCGTATTCTATAAAGGCATACCCTCTTGGTTTTCCTGTATTTTTATTGTGTACAATTCCAATCTAAAATGTTAAAAAGATTTTAATTAAACAACAGTACATTTATTTTTGTGCAGTTAAAAATCAATTATTATACAGTAGAGCATCGATTATCCGAAACAATTCGAAACTGGGTTGTTTGGATAACTGATCATTTACAAAAAAATATATTAAACACAAAACCGTATTGTATATATTTTGTATCACACGTCTTACAAATACATACCTTACATAATGTATTACATTAAACTAGGCCTACAGTTCAGTTTGGCAGGAAGGGGAAGAGTGCTGCAACGCCACAGTCCTGGAGGAAATTTGAATTTTCCGACTGGAATGCTTTCAGTTAACTGATGTTTCAGTTGATCGGTATTTGGATAATCTATGCTCTACTGTATTTTAAGTTTCATTTTAAAAAAATTTGGTAAAACTTAAAACTTTATCTTTGAAAATCTTTAAAAATATGGTTTAAATGTGAGATTTTTGGTTTCCTTAATTAGTAAAAGTATGAATTATCAGCCCATTTTGCTTTATGGATGTGAGACAGACACTACAGAAGATATGGAGAGGAAAATTAAAGCCTTTGAGATGCGGGCAATCAGAAGAATGATGAAAATCAAGTGAACATGTAGGACCACTAATGAAACAGTTTTACAGATGGCAGATACAAAAAGAGAATTAATAAATATAATTAAGAAGAGAAAACTAGCATACTGTGGACACATATTGAAGGGGGAAAATATAAAATCCCCAAACTCACATTAGAAGGCAAAATTGATAGAAAAAGATCAAGGGGAAGAAGACGGACGGGATGGATGACCTCGGGACTTGATACAGAAGAAATTATTCATAAAAGTCACAAAAGAGAACAGTGGTATTTGCTGGCCGCCAACCTCCCTTAGAAGGCATGGACAGAAGAAGAATTATCATTTTTTGAAAATGTGTTAATATCTGCATCTTTTTTCATATTTAATAATATCAACTGGGTGTTGGGAAAAAATCTGCACAAGTCTATGTAATATACAGGTTCCTACTCAAATTTTCTTTTTAATTTCCATGACTTTCCCTGACCAACTTTGTACAAATTTCCTGACCATCACATCCTTTACAGTATGACATTGACAAAATAAAACAGCATTTGACTTACTATGCATATATGTTTTGCTTCTCCAACATTTTAATTAGCTATTTTTTCTAATTAACAGTTATATATTATTTATAATTGTCAAATTATTAAAATTAAAAATAAAATGTATTATTAAAATTCTGTTATTAACCCACAACCATAAATCTACATGGCTTTAAAAAAAGAAAGAAAAATTATTTTTTATTATTCATTAACAAATTCTATATAATTCATGTACGAAAGTATATATTTATTAAATTTATCTCTTAATAAATTTTCTGAACTTTATAAAGTATTAATAAACTGGAAAAAACCAGAAATTGTTTTGTTACGCAATCAAAATTTATTAAAATGATAAATAATACTATTTAAACCATTTATCATTTTGTGTACTTTGTAAATTTTTGTGTAAGCTTGGGAGAAATTTTGAGTCCTGAAAATACTCTGCACTCCTTTTCAAAAGTTGTATTGCACTAAATTACTTCTTGCTGCCTGCAGACAGCTATACTTTAGTCAAGAATATTGCCAGCAGAAAAAATCAACAAGGCAGCCAAGAAAGCAAATTCCCTGACATTCCACGACATTTTCTGAATACTAATGAAAATCCCCAACTTCCCAGATGTGTAGGAACCCTGAACATAGTTTTCACCTTTAAACCTAAACAATACTTTAATAATAATAATCCTAAATCTTATTTGAAAGGTGATCAAAACATCATTATGTTATTATTTTATTTCTGTAATTCTACAAATTTCTGTTCTCAATTGTGGTCGATGTGACTTCGGGTGGTAAGTACAAGTTCCTTTATAAGACTGGTTTGTGTTTATCAGACAGTACTTTACGCAATCGATCGGACAAACATTTTCTTTTCATAAACAACCATCTCAAGAATTGCCCAAAAATCTTCAAATGGCCTAATTTCCAGGGTTGTCATCCTTTTAAAAGCATGTAATGTTTTTCTTGTTACAGGTAATCCAACATGAATTTGGCATAGCAGGAAATTGCTTAATCTGGCCAGAAGACACATTCTGCTCGAGAATAATTCTTTTAAGTGTAGCAATCAGGTGACGTTGTATACATTCATTTAAATGTTGCTGGGCATCGATAGTAAAACTTAATTTTTAAATAAGGGCTGAATTTAATGCTTTTGGTCCTATTGCAATCCAAATCAAAACTACAATGGCAGATGTAAAGGAGTTATTACTAGTATAAAATCCACCATTATCACTGACTGTTGAGTCCGAGAAAATGAAGTAAAATTTGTTATCCAAAATGAAGAAATTTTTCAACCTTTCTCACTTCATCTTTGCCAGTAATTATGTCTGAAACCACCTATTTCTTTCAATATTTAGTGTGTATTTTAAAGCCTTGAAATTTTCCATCTTGGAGCTACAGATTAAACCATAACTTCATTATCAGCTTCAAAGGTCCTCTTCAAGACTCCTTTCTTTTCTGTGATGGTAATCCACTCTCAAACATTTGAAAATGCAGTAAATAGCCCATTTTGAAGCTCCTTCATTTGCATAATGGTTTACAGTAACTTTTTTCATAATAAAATTACACTTCATGCAAACTTTTGAATATATAATAACTACACTTAAGTGTTGTGGTGTTACAGGTATCAACTTTGAGCGTATGAGAATGCTCACTAGTACTTTCAGTAGCATAAAGTTACTGTCATCAGACAAACATTAAATACAGCAGCTATTGAATTTTAAGTTTTCAAACAATATTTGAAATTAAATATAGCACGTGGATGGAATATAAAATGAATTTGAATTAAAACAATGTTCTAAAAAATATAAACGGTAATAACGAGTGGTGTAATTTTCCCAAGATCACATAGCTCACAAAAGCAAAAGCAAACCTGTTTATACAAAAAAGGGAATTGAAACTGTAGATTGAATTGCATACACAAAAGCTCATTTCCCGCAATTTTTGCACAATGTCATGATGATGTAGTTTCACTGACTTCCGATTGCTGCAAAACGGTGCATTTTACAGCAATCAGAATTCAGTGACATGAATATGGATGTAAAACAGTACATTTTACAGCTGTATTCGTGTCGAAAGTTGAACACTGCTCAAGTCGTTTTTACGCTGGTTTTATGACCCACTCGGGCATAAAACATCATGGTCACATGATTAAAAGTTTTTACAGCAAAGGTTTTTATGCCAGTTTTTACACTAGTGGAGTCTTGGCCTACGTCTTCAATAAAACCTTCTGACATGAATAGTACATCATTAACATAACAAATATATAAGTGGATATTGGATGGTGAAGGAGGAAAATACAATGTTCTATGTTCCTCATAATAAGCTCTGCCAAAACAGGTGATAATGGGGAACCCATAGTTACTCCCTGTGTCTGTTTATATATTTTTCCTTTGAATTGAAAGTAGTTATTTTCGGTAATGAGAAAGAGAGCTTTACGCAAATATAAAACTTGTGATATTGGGTAACCAGAGTTAAGCAGCAGGGTATTTGCAAGTACGATGGCCTTGAAATGTGGTACAGACAAATATAAGAAGATCACATCAACTTTGTACAATTGGTACAAGTTGGTGGGGAGGTTTTCTAATTTGTGCAAGACAATTGCTTTTGCATCCATAGAGGATGTGGTGTCACAAATTTGGAGGGTGGAATTAAAACAGTAATTTGTTTTGCTAGTGCAGCTTCTAAATAGTATATGAGATGGGATCATTTGTTGACTAACGGTCTTAAAGGCCAGGCATTTTTGTGTGTTTTAACCTCAAAAAATAATCTAGGACAAGAAACATTTATTGGTGGATTGGGAGGACTTATTAAGGAAGCTACAATTCCAGGAAATGCTATGATTTTATGTTTTTCTTAATATTGTAGATGTAGGGTCCTGTTTCAGTATAATAGACTTGGACTGTTCAAGGAATTCATTAGCTCTTAATAGGAAGTCTTGATTTTTGCATAGAACAAATCTTTTGTCTTTATCTGCAACTAGTAGATTTAACTGATTGGATGCAAGGAATGACTTTACTGTCTGTGCCGTCTTCATATTCACTTTTCTGGTCTTTGAACATTGCTGCAATGCAATGGTGGTTAATGTAGATAACTCCAAGTTTGGTTGTAATTCTGGACAGCTGGTGTTCTAGTTTTTGCTCAGTTTCTTCCTGGTTTGACGAGCTTTTTTGTTGGCTATGTCTCTTATCTTATCCAATTGTTGGTATAAAATTTATGCATCACATTCTTTTACAAAGCATAAATGGGCCAGGTATAATTCTTTTTCTTTTCCTGCTATTGTTTTGCTATTATAGGCCACTTTGGGCCCAAACAAAATTACTCAAATAGTGCAATAATCAGAAAGAATTATTTATTTGGGAGACCCTCTACATAACAGCTATAACAGCCTGCAACACCCCAACCCTTGAAATTCCACAATTATGTAACATGGCAACATTATTCAAACAATTCAGTCTATAGTTTTAATTCATTTTTTTGCATAAACAGATTTGCTTTTGCGAGCTATGTGATCTTGGGAAAATGACACCACTCGTTATTACCATTTATATTTTTTAGATATAAAAAACATCCACACACATTGTATAATATACGACTTACTTCCATTTGTCCACTCGTTCACCTGAAGAAGAACTATAAGTTCAAAAATGTTAGTGAACGAAGTTATATTGAAATAAGCACTGTTTTGGTTTGGAGTTGGAAGTAAGTTGTATATTTTTTAGGACATTGTTTTAATTCAAATTCATTTTATATTCCATTCATGTGCTATATTTAATTTCAAATATTGTTCAAAAACTTAAAATTCGATAGCTGCTATATTCAATACAGTAGAGTGTCGTTTATCCGAATCAATTGGGGACTGGGGTGGTTCGGATAACTTATTTTTTGGATAACGAATCATGTACGAAAAAATATATTAATTTATCCCGTGTTGAAATTTTTCTCCATTGCGTGTCGCTTTGCGTTGAATTTTCGTCGATGTTAAGCCTAACGAAGACTATTGTATCGTTAAAAATTATTTTTTTATTTTGTACAAACAAAATAAATATATTGAAAAATATAAAAATAATAAAAAATTATACTTCAGAAGTTAATTCAGTATGAAAAACGTAAAATATTTGAGTAACCCAAGAAATAGCCGAAGATTGCAGTGCCATAGCACTAGCGAAAATTTAAATTTGCCGACTGGAATGCTTTCAGATAACCAGCTTTCGTATAAACGATGCTCTACTGTATTCGTCTGATGATGGTAACTTTATGCTACTGAAAGGTACTAGCAAACATTCTCATAGGCTCAAAGTTGATATCTGTAATGCCACAACACTTAAGTGTAATGATTAAATAAATATTAAGAAAAAATATATAATGTGTAAAAGTCGTGCAATCTTAGGCATAAAGAGTCTTCTTTCGTTGCCATTTTACAAGAAGTAGAAAATCAAATAAAGAAAAATATTATAGAATGTTCTATGACATTTTGCTAGTTTTCAAATTATAGCAGGCTCAGCATAATCAAAACTTACTGGCAGTTATCTAAAGTCTGAGATATTTTGTGCAGATTTTTCCGACATCTGTTGTACCAGATATTACCATAAATAAACTTCCTCTAGAAGTAAGCTTATGATTTCATTCTTAGTTACAAGGCTTACTTTAAATGGCACAGTTTTAACGATGACAGCAAAATTTCAGAACCAAGAGATGGAATGTGGCTCTCCTTTTCAAATGTCAGATTAGCTCATCCAAATCATGAGAAGCATCTCTGAATGGATTAAAATACAATGAATAGCACCATCAAAATGTTGTAAACTTTCATTTCTAAATAAAGAAAGAAAATTTTCCAAAGACAAAAATCTGTCATCAATACTTCAAAACTGAAATCAATTAGTTTTCATAATTAAGCCCAAGATTTTCCTGATTATGATAATTTAATAATTTTTTTGTTTCACTATCTCTATATTTTGCTGTCTAAGAGTAAGAATTCTTTGGCATACACAATACACAACTGATACTGTTTGAGGATGTTCTTTGGTTCAGCTCAAATATGGTAATTTACAGATGACAAAAATAATTAAGATGTCCAGGGGTGCAAAATATTTCCCCAAGAACTGTTGCAAACTAGCACACAAAATATAACGTTTTATAAACAAATTAATAATTACTACTACTTAGTTTAAAATATTCTACAAAATCTTACAAATAATAGCCTACCATATAATTTGCTGTGCAACATTAACAAATAATGTAAACATTTTAATATTAAGCCTATATCATCATAGGACAGCATATACAATTATAAACTTGATGTAATACATTAATTAACAAAAATAAAACTGAAGGTGAATGCTATAGGCATGATTACTGATACCACAGATGACCTATTTTAAGTGTAGGGATGATAATTAGCAGACTTCTTAATATCCAGAATTACTGAATTTCTTTTGATGATGATCATGTTTTTTTCCAGGAAAACTATTTAGAAATGTAACTTTTTCTAGAGGTTTTGAATGATATTTTCATTATTTTTTCCAAGCTGAAAAGGGTAACTATATTTTTATATTTTTTAAAATTTTATAACAAATTTTGAAACATGGTTGAAATATCTAAATAAAGAAAAATATGTTTATAAAATGATAATGTAACTTCTATTTAGCTATTTAATCAAGACAATTCAAAAAACTTTTTAAAAGCAGTTCATTCATTTGCGAATTTTCCACGAAAGGAACAAGCAAATATTTCATCTTAAATTCGAGCCGACAAAAATTTCCACCACTACATAATGCCAGAATTTTGAAATAAATACAGATTTCCTTTTTGGTTTTTAAAGCTCAGTTTTAGTTTTTGTAAAAGTCAAAACTATGCTTTTGTAATTAATAAACTCACTTATTCTTCACATGCTCTCTGGCTCATAACATCTGTATATGCTTAATTTTTCTTTTCTTTTTTTAACCACACTTTTAGACATCGAACATTCCAATTTCATTTTTAAAACATAGGAACTCCCATTATGTTTTTGACAATTTCCCTCAATGCCTACACGATTAGCCAAGATATTACTACATTTTGTTGTAAAGATTTTGCAATTATTGCAATAATATTTTGCTGCCAAAAATTCCCCCAAGACTGGTTTAATTTTCTCTGAACCTAATTACACATTTGGATATATTCTGCATCCCTGCAGATATAAACTCTATATAAATTATTTACATTTAAAATTCTAAAAACACTTACTTTTTTTATGGGTCCAAAAACTTCAAATTCTCTTCGTAATTTTGATTCTGATGTATCATAATTCTGCAAGAGTGCAAGTATTTTATATGTAAACACCTTTCAAAATTTTAATTCACATAAAATTAAATTAGGAATTCATCTATGTTCAATACAGTAGAGCCTTGAAAACTCGGCCTAATGTGGACCGAAGGGTGGCAGAGTTTGTGAAAATGCCGGGTTATCGGGAATGGGGTTAAAAAAATAAGCACGAGTGTTTCCTCCAGGGCTGTGGAGTCGCATAAAAGTCTACCGACTCCAACTCCGACTTTTCCTTACCATCCAACTCCGGCTAAAACACCAAAACTCCGACTCCGCAGCCCTGGTTTCCTCAGAAAATACTGTACTGTATTTGTATGTATTGTTTACTTGAGAACACAACAGAGAATAAACTGCCCAAATACCCTTAAATAAAGGAAAAGTACGACCTTTATGAAGGCATAGAGCCTTTACTACATGAAAATGAAAATTAATGAATACACTGTGTACAGTAATTTACCTGATAAGACAGACCCCAGAAAAACTTTATGAGGCATAAAGCTGTTTATAATGAAAATTAATTAACTAAGGATTTTTTTGCCCTGCCAGGGTATGGCCAAGTTATCCGGAGTGCCGGGTTATCGAGTGCTGAGTTTTCGAGGCTCTACTGTACCATATTATAAACTAATATTAAAATGTAATTTATTAAAAACAATCAATATTATCTGAGAAATTGATAACAATAAATCTCAAGCTGAAGTTGCCAAGAAAGTCTCCTAATAAACAAATTCAGAAATTTTGAATAAAACCAGCTCTCTTCAGTCATGACAGTCACAATCATGACTGAAGAAGAAAAATACAAAAAGTCTGATAATTAGGGAACACAGTGTAGTATCACAGGTCAAAGTAACACTTGAAATTTCAGGCACTACAATTCCTTACATTTGTAATAGAATTTGCCTTGTCTGAACTATTACTGCTATTAGTAAATAAACCAATTTTTTAAAATTTGTCTTAATTTAAACACAGTGAAACTTGTACAAAGTGGGGATGAGCTCAATATATTAAATATTTTCATAGGTAAAAAAATAGAGAGACTGTCTCTTATTTTTTATTAATTTTTCCTCTTTTTGCTAATTCGAAACCACACCAGTATAATAAGTCCTATATATTAAAAAAATTGAAATATTTAAGGAAATAGACACACAAAGAATTACATTTTATGAACACTGACCCTTTATAATACATTATAGGGAAGTTCACTGTATAGTACTATTTATATTAACGAGCAATTATTTATTGTGACATCGTCAAAATGTTGCCCTGCAATTTTTATAGTATTTTTTAAATTTATTTAAAATACAGCAAGTGATTGGTTAACGAAAAGTTCAGATAGCAAACACTTTCGCAACAGATTTTTATGATCAGACAACAAACACATGTTCGGATAATGAAGACTTTACGGAACAAACATAAAAAGAAGCAATGGAAAATAACAAATATCGATTGATTTTCCCTTGTCTTCAGGTAACAATTCAAAACCTTACAGAGCACGGGAGGCGTCAACACCGATGCTCAACCGATACCAATTGAATAGTATAATATTTCTCCAAATTTTGAAACTCTCCCTTGTAATTCCAAATTTTTGTTTACCTTTCTGACAAATAATTTTTATAATCTTCTCGAGACTGTTGGACGGGCACTCGTTAAGTTTTGCATTGGAGTTTATTTACAAAAGGTGAAAGTTTAACTGTCCCATCGGATATTTGTTAATGTTTTAATACCAAATTTCGAATTTCATCCGGGCCTCGCATTTAAATAATGTTCGTGGGCTAGTTGATTTCTGTTCTTTGAATTTTTATAAATTCTTTTCTGAACTTTTCATTTAAAAAAGAAACTGATAATATTATGCAGCCTAAAAACAGGAATGTCAAGAACTGTGCTCACCGTAAAAACTGAGTGAGAGATAATAATCAAGGTAGAAAGTGGGCACAAGATGTCTGACGTTGCTAGGCAGTATGGCTCAAACAGGTCTACAGTAAGCACAATCTTAGCTTTGAAAGATATATCAAGAAGTCTTGAGCTGCTAATGGAGTAATGAAAATCACATCTGAGGAATAAAGGGCATTTTAGAGCTCATAATGGAACCCGAAACTGATCTGATGACAGAACTCCAAGAACTCTCAAATGAAGAATACCAAGAAACTCGGCTAGATGTGTTTTCTTTTGAAAAAGGACTAATGTCGACATCTGCTACTAAAGATCTTTTGAAGAAGTGGGAGGATGTCATAATGATCAGATAGTATTCATCCAAACCAAAATAAGGTTAATGGGGTTGGGAATCTCTACAATTACAATACTATTAATTACTTTCAAAAAATCCTGAAGAAAAGAGAAAAGCAATCGACATTGGACAGATTCTTTAATCCCCACAAACAGAAAAAAAATGACTAATAAAAATGCAAGACTGCATATATATGTATTTTTACTATTACATATAAATAAACATAGTAAAAAAGTATAAATTTTTTATTTTTTGGAGTTTCCAAAACAAATTAATCAAATTCCCATAAAAACCTATGGTAAATTGATAATTGATTAATGAACAAAGTCTTGGAACAGATTATGTTCATTAACCGATCACCCACAGTATATGCTTTTCACCTCAAATTAGTGATGTCTTGCCCCTGTACATCATACCTTTCCTTTAACAATAGAGTTGTGCCAGTCATCTAACAGCTTTCAGGGGGAAATTTTTGAATTGAAACAACATGACTTCTGGAAAGTTTGCATTGGAAGTTTGTATATAGCTAATTGGGGCCTCCTGCCCCAAGGTTTCCATATCTGATCTCGTCTATCATCTATCTAACTCCATTCTCGAGATTAAGGAAAGACAAACAAATAGCAGTGGGAATTTATAGGGCTGCAATTTGAAAAAATTGAACTGTTCTAAATTAACACTATATACAAAATTACAGTAATTCCTTTATAGTTTTTGTTTAATATCAATTATATCTAAGAAATATGTATGTTAATTTTAAAATTTTGGTACTAGTTGTACTCATCCTGAGCTGGAACATGAGCTTTTAAAGTGAATTCAGAAAGTGAACTATGAAAGAATTCCATTAAAAAGTTTCCTGAAACATGAAAAAAGCTGTTAAGTTTTCAGAACTCAAAGCAAATGGTTTAAGCAAGCTAAGGATGGTTTTCAAATTTCTATTAAGTCTAGTTATGATTACCACTAACATTTTGTTGCTTGAAACTGAACACCCACAGATTTACCTTGTTTGAACGAACTCATGACTTGTTGACAACCTTCATTTGATAAGTCCCAACTATCGTACAGAAAATCTAATCTGTAAGATTTTTTGCTTGTTCTTGTGTCATTGAACCAATCAATGATGAAATCAAAATTATCTACCAGACTGCATTCTCATGAATCTCAAGAAATGAATGATCTTGCACAGGCTCAGAACAAGTCACAACCTGTATTCCAGCATATTGTGTAAACATCGGGTTCATTGAAAAATCTTGTCTGTGTTTTTTAGATGTAATAAATGTTAGAAATAGTTGTAATATGTAAACCAGGTTTAAAATACACAACTTCAGCAAACAAAAAATACATAGCTGAATAGTAGCTAAGAGACTTAACAGTAAGTAAATACAGTATATTTAATGTTGAGAATAAACAACACTTTTATTTCTTATTATTTATAAATAAAATCAGAATAAAACAACATATTTCAAGTAAAATTTAATTTTACATAACTGAAATTAAATGACTTTTACAGTTCAATAATTATGAAAGTGGTACAAGTCCATTTACAACCCAGAAAGAATATATCGATTTAGTTAAATTCACATAGAAGTTTTTATGTAATCAACTTACATATTTCTAAAGTCATAGAAACATTGCCAAACTTAGTACACTTTATTTATATTTTTGAATCGACTAAAATGCAAACCTTTAAATATTTAGAAAAAATAAAAAATGAACTTACAACACTTTCAATAATAAACAGTCCATATGCAAATGATCAAAAGAACAAACAAAAATATGTAACAGACTCACTCCTGTTTTTATTCAATAATGAATATGGCCCCACACAGGCAACTATACAGGGCACTATATGGCCAGACATACTATCAATAAGGCAATTAATGGTTACTCAAGGTATCCTTTGCCAAGCTGTGTCCACTGCAGCATGCATGTTGTCTACAGGATTTGGTGATGGTCCCTGGAGCTCCTGATGTTGGATGAGATCCCACAGGCATTCAATAGGAGAGAGATCTGATAAGGCTCCTGGTCAGGAAAACATGTGGTAAATTCTGTTCCGACTGATGAGAGTTCTCAATGAGATTTGACATTGTCTGGAACACCTTGTTGGGTGTCGCCTGCACCAGTGACCAAATCACAAACTCCCACAATTCGTGATGTACTGGTCTGCTGTCAGAGTACCAGAAATGTGCACAAGGGCTGTCTGCTGATGAAACATGATGAGTGGTGTGGGGCTGGTGTGTGATGCTCAGTGACAGGAATGGAGAATTCCCTGGAATACCACCACAGACAGAAGTGGGATTCATCCACAAACAATACCCAGTTGTGGTGGTGCAGTTGCAATGATAATGACACCACACCACACCACACATGCAGCCCAGTAAGCAATGGCACCACAATGCTGGTTGCCATGCATGCAAACCATTCACAGATTACATGAAGTCAGGCTTCATGCAACCTGATGTAAATGGTTTGGGTCAACACAAATGCACCTGTTGACAGTGACAGGTGGTTTCAGATGTCACCTGCTACAGCAAATGGGTCCTGATGGACTGTTTAGCAAATCTGCCAGCCTCTGTTGCAATCCATTCTTTCTTTGGTATGTTTGCAGATGTTCCTGCGTCAACTGTGTCACACATTACTGGATGGTACTCAAGCCATGTCCAAAACATATGGCAATTGCATGCACTGACAAACAGAGGTCACACAACTCCAGGATATGGTTGCATCCCTTAGCCATTAACTGGTGTTATTCTGTTATGCTGTCATCTCTGAGGAATTTTCTATGCTTCCTCAAAAGTTCGGCTGCCACAAACCCTTGCACATAGCATTTATGGATTGAGACAGGTGCTGGTCTTTAAAGCCTGAAACTGAGTACCACATGACCCGATGCATACACAATCTTAATCATTTGCACAACACATCACCTCTACCAATCCTGCAATTTGCAGGTGGCTATGCACATTCCTTCATGGTGTTGAAATTTCACTTTAGAGGAGTGAAATTAATTTAAACACCAATTTAGATATTTCACCACTTTGCATTTTAATGCACTTTAAGATTCTTTTTTATTGCTCGTGTATCATCTATTTAGTATTCAAATTCTCAAAAAAGCAAAGTTGAATGTTCAAATATAATTAACAGCACAAAACCTTTCTCACTAATTTCTAGCCTTATTAACTGGAGTACAAACGTTTTCGGCCTTCTTAATAGGCCTTCCTCAGGTACACTGTGGAGCGTCGGTTAGAAGAACTGAGTGTACCTGAGGAAGGCCTATTAAGAAGGCCGAAAACGTTTGTACTCCAGTTAATAAGGCTAGAAATTAGTGAGAAAGGTTTTGTGCTGTTAATCTTAGAAATAGTTCTAGCTACATATGCATAGTAGTCAAATGTAATCTTTCAAATCTCAGAAAGAAGCTAACACTAGTATTTAGCTTGGTAAACACAATACAATTTCCATCATAGGTTATTTTCATATGAGTTTTTATCATTTGTGCAATATCTGTCTCAGGCAAAAAACAATTTTTCTAATTCCTCATTTTGAGCCTGTGTTAGAATTAGTATAATAAACAAAATATATTAATTTATAATTGTAGCCCTAAGTTTCTTCACACATCTTAATTGTATTAAAGTTTTGTGCTATTGTTGAGCTTATCTGGGACATGCAACCCAAGATTTAATCAGATGTATCAGTCACATTATTACAAACTGATATAATAGATATTCTCTTCTTGAAGTGATGGAATAAAATGTTTTTAAAGCAAATACAGTAGTCAAAAGCATCAGATTTTTTTTGAGCATTTTTTTCATCAATGTCCTTATAGAAAACAATAAAATTGACCTAACTCAATATAACAAATTGAACTGAAAGACGTTCTAAAACACATTTTTTTTTTAGAAATTCATGCAAAAAAACATCATATAGTTACATAAATGTATATCTGAAAGTTCAACTTGTGAAGCATAATCATACGAATTTTATATAATTTAATTTTATATTTATCTTAAATGTATTTAGCATTACAGTTCATTACTATTAGAACATTATATACAATTTTTTTATAAAATACTTACAATTCTTGCAACAAATAGTGTCTTATATGGATCAGATGTTCCAGATGTATTGTTATGGGGATCCCCTACAATTAAAAGCATTTTAATTTCTAATAAACAATATAAGAATACAAATTTTCATTTTTTTATGTAACTTACACAAGGCAATATCTTGTTCTAGCTTGTATGCAACTTGTTCAGCTTTCTCTCGCCTCTGAAAAAGAAATTAAATGCTAAAATTCTTTACTTTAAAACCTTTTCAATTTTTCATCTTATCAGTAATTTTTATCTTAAATGAAACATCTTAATGTGTATATTCCATTATAAAAACATAAATCTTTAAATACATTTGCAATATTGATATTTTGTCACGTGACTATATGACACACTTTAGTTTAACATTATGATTTATAAGCAAGATGTTAAAAATGTTAAATTATAACCTGTTTCACTTTATGTATTAAAATTATTTATTGCTTATATAGTTTGAATAATTATTGAATAAAACATTGGAGATCATGAGTATCTACCAGCACTTGCCATGTACAGTACACTGTTGCAGTAATATGGCAATCTGTGAAGTTCAATGTTTTTCCAAACAATTCAAAGTTTTGAGTTTTGAGGTGCTCTGAACCTTGACTGCTATCTCAACACTTCCCAATTAGAGTTTGATTTGCGTAATTTCATAACATCATTTGAATAACAATGAAATTGCATCCCACTCATTTACAGTTTAAATATGTCTAAAATATTTAAATAGTAATCTACTTGGGTTATATTACAATTTGACACAATTGACTGGATACTATTTCACATTTGAGTTTGATAGCCCACAAAATTTAAATTTCTATAATGTGATTTTCAAATTTTTGGTACAAAAGATTGAAGAATCTTACATTATATTCTGGTAACAACTGGAAAGGAAAGAAAACTGAATTGAAGTTGACCAAGGCTTTCAAGAAATCAAAAATCATCCTGCTATTTCATCTAAGTCAGTTTTTCACATTGCCATTACAATGATGGTTAATTTTCAGATTGTCTATTTAACTTTCAGCAAATCTCAGCTTAATAAAAAAAACTTAGCCACGTACAATTGATTTGGCCTGAACTCTGATATTTTAGCATAAATAATGCAAGGCAATAGTTGTACTTGAATCAACAAGCAGAAATTTTGAATATTACATATTAATTTTAGTGATATCATGCACACAACCTATTCATTTTCCAGCACAATTATTTAACCACTGGACAAACGCTTTCAAACTGCTTTACAGATCAATTTCAGGCTTATCTATCAAAATTGTTGTAAATGTATTTTAAATATTCTAATGTTCCAGAAATAGAACAAAAATAGATGAAAGTATACTTAGGCCTGAAGCTGATCTATAAAGCAGTTTGAAAGCATTGTCCCATCATTAAATAATTGTACTGGAAAGTAACCAGATTTTGTGTGTGATAATTTTGAATTATTTTCCAGCTTAAATTTCCCATTTTACTTCTGGCAAACCATAGAAAACAAGACATCATTCTGACCTCTTCTCACTGTAAGATAATAGTACAGAAGTATGATGGTAAATCAACATGTATGTAGATGATTGCTTACAAAAAAGTGTGAAAAATAATAATTGGGTCATCAATGTTCAAAACATTTGAAATCTCCAAAATTATTTGGAGGTATAGCCATAGGTACAGTTCACAAGAATTAGATAGAGCAAGTGATATGTGGGAAGAGTGGATAAACTTTTTTCTTAGTGTGTTTGGACAAAACTATACAACTGTCCATTTTAGCAGATATTTGGAAATATTGTGGTGGTTCATTTTTGGATTATTATTAATATGAAAAATGGCAACATATCCAACTTGCATATCTGGATATGTGTAACCAGTTTTACAACTATGATAATGCGTGGACTACCAGTGAACAGCATGTACTGTACTGTACATTGTCAGTCTTAGAATAATAAATTTACTTTTTGACAAATAGTCAAGTATTTATTTTTTTACTTTTCTTATTGTTTTGTTATTTCTTTTGAACAAATTTGTTCATGTTTGCCCATTTAAAAGTCCAGGCCTGGCACCAACCAACCCTTGTTTTTGGTTTATGTAATGCCATACACAATAGGTTATTTCTAGGTATAGAAAAATTAAATGTTAAAACTTTATTTAGAAATTTCAAAAATTATTTATTTCTTTCCATAAATTGAAAATAAAATATATGTAATAATTACATTTTTTGAGTTGTAACATCTTTGTGTTTGAAAAATATTATAATATATAAAATCTTTTTAAAAATCTGTACTGATTTCATTCCATTTTACTTTGCTAATCACCATATAATCCATCATTCTTGACAAGAAAATTCACCAGTTATTATTAGTATATAAAGATGGCTCCTCATATTTGGTACTTGCCAAATGCTGAGCTGACATTTGGCCAATACCAAATAGTAAGAACGATTTATACATGACTTTGCTTGAAAAATATTCAGTATTTGCCATTTCCTGCTCATCAATATATCATCCCAAATCAAAGGGAACAAATCTTGAACAAACATTTGTAATTCCAAAATGAACTAATTTTGATAAATAACCATATGCTTGTATGTACAGTATCTGTATATGCTCATCACATGACAAATGTTTTGGCAAAAGGCTATTATTCAACTATTGGCAAATATAGAATGAGTGGAATTGCCTTCAGGATTAAAACTAATATTTTTGAAAATCCAATTTTTACCTTTCTTTCTTGTCTTTCTTCTCTAGTCTCTACTCTAGTTGGAGGTGGAGTATCTTTAGGATCCTGAAATTTACAAAAAGTTTTAAATTAAAGCTACCGTTTATTAAATAATTAAAATTTAAATGAAATGTTACTTTTTAATCAAAAATTATTCTTGAACCACTAATTAAAATCATCAGCATAGAATATTGGTTGGGGAATATAAGAGAACAATATGTGGCAATTATTTTGGTAACATGGATTCTAAGATTTAATTTTTAGGAGCCTGTCAGCTAAAATGATTAAATACTCTTGTAATATTCATGGGTTATTAATAAGTTTAATGTCATCAACATATGTTATAATTTTTGGTCTAGATGAAGTTAAGGTATGTATATACAGTATGCTATGAATAACAGGTTAATAGAGCATTATCTATAATGCCCAGCCATTATGAATAATGACTAAAATGGCTACACAGCTGACAAATATTGACTAATTTATTAAATTGACCAAACATTATTAATACAGCTACATTCCCTTCAAGCGATTTGATTTAAAAAAAAAACTCAAACAATTCTTAATGAAGTTGAATTTTGTAAATTATGTTGAAGTATTTTCAAAATGACATGAGATCTTTTAAAAGTAAGTACTATTAACTGTATTAATTAAACTAATGCTAATGAAAAGTAGTATTATAAACAAATTTATGCTTCAATAAAAAATTCAAGTTAAAGGAAACTTCTGAAATGTCATTTTTGGTATAAATTATATAAAAAAGTCATCATCATGAAAGAGAATCTCTAAATCATCCTCTGTATTAATTCTGGTCATTGATATGTTAGATATATAATCCTTTAGTTCTACTTTTATCTTTGCTCCAAACATGACCTCATAGGAGATGCAGATTATACCAGTATGACATACTCAATTTTTCATCAGTTGTACAAAATGTAATCCTTTGAACCATTTGTTAGCGGTGTTAGTCTCCAACCAAGAACTAAGCATATTTTCTACATCTTGGTTACATCTTTTCTGCTGAACCCTGACTTTGAGCACTTAGGCTTTCCATGCACCAGTTTTAACTCAGGCTACATATTACACAGTTCTTTGATGACATTATTGGCAAACTCTCTGCCGTAATCACTTTGTACAGTATTTGGCGCATAAAAAATTGTAAAAACGTCTAAAAGAACATAAACTACATCTTCAGCCTTTTTGTTTCAAACGACATAGTTGAACGAATTTAGTCAGGTGGCCTTGGTACAAAAGTATAAATTTATATTGCTCATCAGCTTGTGACTGCATATTTATAAGATCAACCTGACATCTACAGTTAATTTCATTACTTAAAATTGGTTTAATTAATTAACTACCAAGCCTTTCTTAGGATCATCGTTTTTACTTTCCTGGCTGTTATGTATACATAATAAGGGAAAGTAATGAAATTGTGTCAAATTTGACCCTCAGAGTTTTATGCAAATCACCACCCCTAAATAAAATACAGGTAATAAAAACAGAATTCCGTGGGTGCATGTAATGGTGTCTATTTCACTCAATATCTCAGGATGAGTTGAAGATAAAAAAATGAAATTTGGCATGGTAGCTTGTATATAAGAGGCATTGATGGTATTAAATTTTGGTTGTGAAAGGTCAAGGAGATGGAGAGATAGAGGGTGATCACATGCCACATCTCATGAGAGAAACTTAAAGATGATTTATTTGTTGCTAGTACACCATACGTTTCTATATTCAACGGTTGACTCAACAGTGAATTTTCCGTTGAGTCCCTCCGTTGAACGATCTGACGTCACGTTTTGCAGAAAAAAGAAACGCTTTCGTTGAGAGGTCGCTTTTCAAGATGGCTGACTTAAGTAACGAGAAGGTGGCGATTGTGACTGTTTTGCTAAATAATTAAAGTAACTCGCTTAACCATTATTCGAATAAATCCTTTTATTCAAATGAACCCGTATCTGTATCATTTTTTTGTATACTGGGTCTTTTTTTAATTAATAATTTTAATTAATTTCTTGAATATTTATATCATTAGGAAGACTTAGCGGGCCAAATATCGGTCGTAATCAATTTTGGACAAATGAAAAAATCTTAATATTTCAATATTGACCAAATTATCCAACATAATCGTGCAATCACGTGTTTTATCATATACAGATTG